AGACCCTGGGGGAGCTGGGCTGTGCCGTGCGGGGGAGCCCAGTGGGCTCGCTCCGCCGTGCTGTGCCGTGCCGTACCGTTCCAGCAGGTCGAGGCGGAGCTGGTGGCCGTGGGGCAGGGTGAGCAGCTCCATGCCGGAGCTCACTCCCATGAGCCGCTGCATCTCCACCGTCACACCCAATATCCGGGCGACCTGGCAAGAAAGGTGAGAGCTGATTAGACCTTTGTCTAGTTGAGGAGAGGCTGAAGCGTCCTTGGGCAGCCTCTTGCCCCAGCCCAGCCTCTGCCTGCCCCAATGTGGGGCAGAGCCCCACGGGGACACTCCAATGCTTGGGGGTGCTCCAATCCCCGGCCAACCTGGAGCGACTGGCGGGCAGCAATGCCCGTCCCTCCCGCCTGGCCCCGGCCGTACCAGGCAGTCCACTTTGGTGATGTGTTTGGCCAATGTCTTCACGTCCACCTCTGCCAGCAGCTCTTTGACCTTCTTGAGCACAGCCATCTCCAGGGGTTTGTTCTCCAGGGGGATCAGCAGGGACTGGAAGGCCGCGGGGTTGAAGGAGGAGGTTGTCTCCATGGTGGGGGGCACAAAGCTCACGAAGTCCAGCTCTCCTTTGAGCCTCTGCCCTGCCTCTGCTTCACCAGAGCCATTCTCCACAGTCCCTCTCTGTCCTTCCTCCACCTTTAGCCTCTCCACGTAGCTCTTTGTTGGCAGCTGCTTGGTGTCATGAGCTGGCCGGTCTCTGCTGATGGGCGAGGTGGGGTGGAGCTGGCAGTAATGCCCCGTGTCCGGGTCGCTGTAGCTGTTCACGGAGGGAGAGGGGGAGGCACGGGCGTACCCATGGCAGGGAGTCGAGTGGGTGCTGTGGGCAGAGTCAGGCAGAGGTTTGCTGTTGTTCCCTGGGCACAGCTGGGGCTCGCTGGACCTTCTTATGACTGGAGAGGCTGGGACAATCCCAGCTGCCTGGCAGGCCTGTGGCTTTAGCCGTGTAACTGTAGGGAGAAGAGGAGACCCTGTTATCAGAGCCTGGAGATACGCACGCACATAGGGACCACAGGTGCAGCAGCCCGGTGACATGGAGCTCAGGGAAAGCCCCACTGCCCGGACTCAGCCGGTCCCAGGACAGCTGCACAACGATGCGGCTGAGGACCAGCCAAGGTCCCATCCTCAGCTCAAGCCCTCCGTCAGGACAGTTTTCTTTGCTGTGCAAAGAGCCGGACAGGGTTTAGCTAGCAGGGAGTGATGCAGGGGCTTGTCTTTACAGCCAGCTCCGTCCCCCTCCCCAGGTCCCTGCATCACACCCGTGCCAAGCCCAGCCTAACCACATCCCCAGCGGCATAGACCGTGCTGTAGGCAGGTGACGCTGGATTCTCGGAGATGGGGGACATCGGGGAGTGGAGGTCTTGGATCTGGTCCACGCTGACAGCACAGTTGCGAATGATGTCTCTGTGGTGGGGCAGGGACACGCTGAGGAGGGGGCAGATGGGGTAGGTTAGTCCTGCAGACAGGGCCCAGGCAAGGGCAGAGGGGCTGGGTTGAG